ACCTTTCCAATAATTATAGATGGTAGTGTATTAACCTTTTTTTTCGGAACCAAAATCCGTTATGATTTGTATTTTATCAATGTGAACGAAAGTCTATTCAAATATCTAAATATGTAAACTTTAAGTTCTTTAACTATCAATCAGTATAATTATAAAGTAGATGACATTAAATTCTACCGATCTATTTTTACTTAATAATTTCATTGCGACAATATCTCTTTATTTTAAAGCATTAAATGTTGTTTTTTAAAGTTTAACAAGTTTTCTGTTTATTAAATAGTGTAAAAAGATGATATAGCATTCCACAGCGATTGAAGTGCTTCGCTTGGGTTCAAAACCTTTTGCTTACACAATTTTTTTTTTTTAAATCCTATCCAGTTTTCTAGAAAACAAAGAAAAACAAGTTTAAATGCGTATAGATGTTATACGCATTACATAAAAATAAAGGTATAATATACTATAAGAAACCAATTTTTAAAAACATAAAAACGCTGTTGGAAATTTGTTGCGCATATATCATGATAGAGATACTAATGTTTTAGGTAATTAGTTAAAACTACGAGTTCAACACACATTAAAAAGATAAATTTCTTTCTTATATATATAAAAAAAAGGTTTTACATGCAATCTGAAATTTTTATTAAAACTAACTGGTCAAGAGTCCTAAAAAGTACGGAAAGGTATGAAAAAATAAATTGTATTCCGAAACGTAAAAGAAAAATTTAGTTAATCCAGAAGGTGACAAACAAAAAACCCACAAAATTTCGTCTAATCCGCTAATAGAAACGCTCGAATATTAAGATATAAACAAATATTATGATTTTTGTATTACGAAACGTACGCCAACTTTTAAACCACTGTAAAACTACCTTGCGGTTATCTAATTAAATCCACCAAATCCGTTAATAAAAACAGCTTAATTAATAGATTCAAAACCATCTGATTTTTGTATTATGATATGTGCGCCAACTGTACTCTAAAACCAATAAAACTCGGCCATGTGGTCTTTATATCGATTATAACAATTGCAAAGCGAGGGACGACAAGTAAGTTGTATCTACAAGTTTAATTATTGTAATCTTCATTTAAAAAATTAAACTTATTTTATAATTACCATGTTAATATGTTTGAAGTTTATATGTTTTTGACCCAAGAATAAACATTAAGAATATTTTTTTAGAAATGAGCAGCCAAGATACAGAAGGTATTCTTTTTATTTTGTATAGCATTAACTAATTCAAGAGATAAAAAGAGATGATACGTCAATAATACTGAGATATTTAGCTTATTATTTTATTAAGAAATTACATTGAGATAATTTTGTATATCTTTAGGCGACGAAGAAGTTTCTGTATTTTTTCAAAGTAAGTCATTTATATATACTATATATATATAGTATATATAGTAGCAGTTACATATGTTCTAAAAGTGGCGAAGCTGTACTTGATTCACGGTGTGAATAAAACGATGATTTATTTTAGCCGTTTTTAATTGAAATCAACCAAGATATGCCGCCCTCCCCGTGAATCAAGTTCACCGCCCTAAAATTTAACTAAAATTAAAAAATATATAAATTAATTTTTAGAACTTTAAAAGGGTGGACCCGAAACTCAGTTTTTGTTTATTCCGCTATTTTGATTGATGTTTTTGTAAAGCAGTGATCCTTAAAAACGCGTATAAGCTTTATTTAAGGTGTTTAAGCTATAATTTTATAAAACGTGTTTAAGCTAAAATTGACTTTTAAGTCTTCTAACTACTAAACTTTTACGTAAAAAGAAACTTTTTGTCATTTACTGAATGTGTTAAATTATAAAACTGTGCAACAGTTTTATAATTTAAGACAAATCTTATATGTTTAATTTACAAAGTGAATATTTTGAAAATTAATTTTGTGTATATATATATATATATATATATATATTAGATGTTCAAGAGATCATAGCCGAAGAGCTCTTGCCAAGTAAGCTAACTTTGTATGAGAAGGATATGCTACAAAGATATATATTTCACCAATTTTAGCAATTTGTTAATTATAACTTTTTTTTATTGTTTAGCGGAAGTAATGGACAAGCTAAGTCAGGAATTTTGTTGTTGTTTTTTGTTTTTTTGTGTGTGCAAATACATTTATGCTTTTTTAGTTTTTTTAAAGTTATTTAGCAACTGACTTTTGTCAGTTGTGACAGTTTTTCAGTCAGCAAGTGACTTTTGTAACTTTTAAATTTCTTTTATTTAGAAAAATTAGAAGATTCTGTTGGGAATCTAAGTAAGCAATTTGTTATTGTTGTTGTCATGCTCTTTATTTTTTTATTACATATTTATTTAACATAAAGTTATTCTATATTTGGAAAGTTAGTTTATTTTAATGTTTATAAGTTTTTCATTTTATTTAGAAAAATTAGAACATTCAATGGGTAAACAGAATTTGATTATATTACATTTGTGTATTATAGATAAAGATAGAGCGTTTTACTTTCACAAAAAAAGGTGTACTCTATGGTCTTTTAGCTTTTTTGATACAATTTTGAGCATTTTTTTTATAGGGCTTATATTTCAACAATTTAGTAAGTTACTATATTGTTTTTGTGGATTGTTTATTTATTTTTATTTTTTATTTTTTTTGTCGCTTTTTTCTTTTTTGGTTTGTTTTGTTTCGTGATTGTTATTTTTGCCTTTTGTTTTGTTCCAACTTTATTTATAGATTTCCTAAAGTTGAAAAATATTCTGCATGTTAGTTTCTTTCCTAATGTTAATGAGTTTTTTTTTATTCTTTTTAGAAAATTTAGAAAATTCAGTTGGTAAGCAAAGTACACTTATGTTTCTTTTTGTTTAATTTTAACACACATTTTTTGATGTTTGTGTGCGGTTTTATCACTGTAAAATAAACTGTTTAATTGATTAGTATATGTTAGTTTATGTAAATACATTTTTTACCTCCACTATAGCGTCATCTGCAGTACCATCAGGTAATGTGCTTTGCATTCTTATGCAGTTTTAAGAGTGTTATGTGTGTTAAAACTTAAAGGTAGCATATCTTAATTTACAGATTACTTTATTTATTTATTTTTTGTCTCTACATTAGCACCTCAAGCAATAATATCAGGTAATCTGTTTAGCATACTTATGCAGTTTTATGGGTTTTATGTGTATTGAAACTTAATCATTACTGTTTTCATGCAATTACATAAATGTTTAACATATGTTACTTTATACACTTTTTTTTTTTACCTTTACAATAGCATCAATGTCATCATATGCAGTACCGTCAGGTAATGTGTTTTGCATACTTATGCAGTTTTATGAGTGTTATGTGTGTTGGAACTTAAACATTACTTTTTTCATGTTTGTAAACAATTACATAAATGTATAACATATGTCACTTTGTACACTTTTTTTTTTTTTGCTTTCACAATAGCATCAATATCATCTGCAGTACCATCAGGTAATGTGTTTTGCATACTTATGCAGTTTTATGGGTTTTATGTGTATTGAAACTTAAACATTACTTTTTTCATATTTGTTATCAATTACATAAATGTTTAAAATATGTTACTTTATACACTTTTTTTTTTTTTTACTTTCACAATAGCATCAATATCATCTGCAGTACCATCAGGTAATGTGTTTTGCATACTTATGCAGTTTTATGAGTGTTATGTGTATTTATTTATTTTTTTGTCTTTACATTAACACCTCAAGCAATAATATCAGGTAATCTGTTTAGCATATTTATGCAGTTTTATGAGTTTTATGTGTATTGAAACTTAATTTTTTTTTTTTTTTAAGTTTTCATGCAATTACATAAATATTTAACATATGATACTTTATACACATTTTTTTTTTTTACTTTCACAATAGCATCAATATCATCTACAGTGCCATCAGGTAATGTGTTTTGCATACTTATGCAGTTTTATGGGTTTTATGTGTATTGAAATTAAACATTACTTTTTTCATGTTTGTTATCAATTACATAAATGTTTAACATATGTTACTTTATACTGTTTAACTGTTTAATATATGTGTTTGTTTATATACTTTTTTATTTATTTCCGCAATAGCAACAGTATCAACTGCAGTACCACCAGGTAATGTGTTTTCCATACTTATGCAGTTTTTCCGTACTTATGCAGTGTTATGTGTATTGAAACCTAAACATTACTTTTTTCATGTTTGTATGCAATTACATAACTGTTTAATATATGTGTTTGTTTATATACTTTTTTATTTATTTTCATAATAGCAACAATATCTGCAGGACCATCAGGTAATCTGTTTTGCATACTTATGCAGTTTTGTGGGTGTTATGTGTATTTGTGTAGGTATATATGAAGTTTAAACATTGCATATCCTTATTTTTACATTACTTTATTTATTTTATTTTTTTCTCATAATTTTTTTTTTTTAAATTCTAAATAGTTTTATATAATATTTTTATTTGTTGTTTTGTGCAGTATTGTATTCAACTTTATTTCTTTTTTAGTTTTTGTTTTTTAGCATCGCATCAAGATTTCCTGCGATATCGCTCCCAGCACCCAGGTCCCGGTGGAGTCAATATGGGGAGATGATCTATCCTTTAGATGGAGGAGACAAGCCCCATATGACACCACTGGTAAAAGGAGGGGTGCTGGGAAGCGGTTCAACTCTTTTAATTTCTACCAGTAGCTTTTTTAAACTACTGGTAGAATTACCTTCTTTTTATTTATATAGAAAATTGACTTTTTAAAAAAATGTTTTTTTTTTGATTTTTTTAAATTTTTTATTATTTTAATTTTTATACTTTTACTATTTTATTTTTTTGATTTTTAATTCTGTTTTTAAATCCTAAACTTACAAAGAACTCTTATGTTATAAAAGTTTTTAATAATTTGTCTATAAGTTTTTTTATTAATTTACGTTTTTACATCTTTTTATTCTCATTTTTAATTTTAATAATACTAAATTTTCATTTGTATTAACTTTTATTTGTTAAATGTTATATAGTGTTTGAAAGATTTGGTAAGTATATTTAAAATATTTCTTTTTCTATGATGTCTGTTTAATATGTCTAATATATGCACTATACACCTATTAATCTCTTTACATTATTCTCTTTAGATATATTATAAAATAGTATTTAAAATCAGTTGTCAGCCACATGTGGTCTATATGATGCAACATGTTTGCAATTGTTGGCATGTCATTTAAAAATTTGTAACTAATTTTGCTTTTTAATATTACCATTAACATGACTTTTAAAATAATAAAATTTTTTATTTGTTTCAAAAAAAAATTTTATTACTTATAATATAGTATGTTATTACAAGATACTTCTGGCTTTATCTCTGTTTCAAACCAGTTTAGTTAAAACTTTTGTTCACAAATTTTATTGCTATACACATAGTTTCATAGATTTAAACTGATAAATAGCACTTTATTGTTTTTGTTCATTTTAGATTAGTATAGCAAAAAATTAATAAGATATTCGTTTATATATCTTTATTTATATTTATTTGCTTAAGTTTATATAAGTTTATATTAAGTTGTTTCCATGTGAAAAGTGTTGTTACTTGGCAAAGTGTAGTGCAAGATTGTGATTCTTGCTAGCCAAGCGGTGTTACTAATGATGTTACTTGGCACTTAATGCCAAGCGGTGTTACTAAATTGTGGTGTTACTTTGCAGCGTTTAGTGCCAAGCGGTGTTACAAGTATTGAGCTAGGTTGTGTTGTCTAGCTTTTTTAATTATTCTAGAAACACATAATCTGAATATTTTGTGTTATGTACAAACATTTTATGCTATGTGTATTCAGTAGCATAGGCAGGGTCTTTTGATGCTTCAGATAGCACTTTCAACCAAACTTAAGTGTATTCACGTTTATAGAATTAAAATACTTTGCAAAAAATTGATGTTGTTAAAGCTTAGGAGCAAATGTTTAAAAAAAGTGTTATTCCTAACCTGAATTTTTTTAGACATAACAAAGCTAAACTCTTCAACAGCTTCTAAATATATATCTGAAACAACAAAAATCTTGCCTACACTACTGGTGTTATTGTTTGTCATCCTGTAATGTTGTTGTGATGTTTAGTGTTGATAGACAGCTTGGCTTACCTTCACGTTGGTGTCTATTGTTAAAAATGATTATTGGGTAGCTTCATTACTGAAACTTACTCCTAATCATTCACTAAAAGCCAAGAAATATTTTAAGAAAAAATGCCTAATTTTTTTGTGTCAGTAAGAATTTTTATCTTTAGCAATGCTGATAAAACTGAATTTTTTTAAAAAAAAAAGAGTAATTCCAGCCTTCCAACCAAATATTAGAGACTTTTACGAAAGCACTCTCACAAAGTAAGTGTCTAATATTTACTTAATATTACTATCTTTCGTTTCGTATTTTTCATTTTTCAAATGAATTAACATAAAACAAATAAATGTGCGTTTACTGTTATCAATAATGATTTAATTTCATTTTTAGATAATGCTTTTATAATCAATTTAAAAGTCTTTCAAATCGTTAATCATTTTCTAAAGGCGAAGAAGAAGAATCATCAATCTTTATACCATTTAATAAAGCTATTTTAATAAAACGCAATACAAATTGTTGTAAATTAGTATTTGAATAATTTTCACGTTGTTACCTTATTTTGCAGTTTCCTATCACTTTGTATTGAATAAACTAAATCCAATATTACAGTTCCTTATATCAAGTACTTCACATTTTCTGTTTTTGTTTTATGCAGAAAAACAGATCAAGTTAATTTATTTGACTTGCCTAGCTACTTATATAACACGCCTAGCGACAGTGAGTGTGCATAAATCAACAGAGGATTTGGGTTTGGGCAGGTTGTTCTGAACTAAATGATTTACCTCCTTCATGTTAAGCTCTAAATATAAATATACGGAAAAAGTGCATATGTGAATTATTTTTTTCTAGCACATAATCTATTGTTCACTAAAAAATATTAGAGGGAGAAATAGAGATAAGGTTAATGTGGAATAGAGTTTGTCCTTTTAAGTGAAAAACTATTTTATAATCTATCTTCTATATAATAATGCCAAACTTAATAGTAGTGTTAGTAGAAAGAGTCGCGACACTTTTTTTAGAAGAAAACGTGTATGCAAATATCTAACGTACGTAATTAAGTAATGATGAAACTACTGAAACATTTTTCAAGTTTTATACTTTGACTTTGACTTAAAAATTGCATTGCGTCAACCTCTCCTAATTTTTTGATCTACAGCAATTCCGTTAAAAACATTTTTTATATATTTTTAAAATTTCGATATTTGATGTGTCAGCATGGCCGAGTGGTTAGCGCGCTAAGCTTCTGAACGTAATAGTCGTGGTTCAAATTTACCGCCAGCAATTTTTTTCTTTAAATTACAAAATATTTGTGAAGTTAAACAAGTTAAACGTTATACCCTTTAACCGTTGTTTTTTTTTAATTTTATAAATTTTTTGGATTTCTTAAAACACCAATAAACGTGGCGAAAATATTTTGCGTGTGTGTCACGATTTTAATACTGTTCTCGCATAATTGGTCCTAATAAGCTACAGATAGTCTTAAAAAAAAAGGTCCTAAAACCTAATAAGGAAAAAGTTTGATAAAACCGTCCTGCTACTCCACATAGTATTGCAGTGGAGGCAGGGAAAAAAAAAGTAATTAAAAGGTTTTTTGTTATATTTAATTTTTTGCTATAAATATAGCCAGATTAAAAAAATTGTATTGAGATTTTTTAGGCGCGGATTTGAAGCCTTGCACAGCGACTCTGATGACTGCGCACTTAACATGTGAGCTATCAAAGTTATGCATGTAGTTAGGTGCTTCAACATTTTTTTAAAAATGTAAAATGAAAACAAAATAAATACCATAGGTAAGAGCTAAATAATAACGTTTAAAAATTACTAAACTTTTTGTTATATTATTATTAGTTTTTCAACTTTTAAACCACAAAATTTATAATTTATTTTTTTGCATGACTTTTGACGCTTTAAGCAACTAACGTTTTAAAGAATTGCATTACCGTTTCCGTCTAATACAAAGATTAATAATAATAAATATAGCAAACTATTGAATATGGCTAGGACGCGACCATAAACCATGGTCCATGGCTGGTCTAAAAGTAGGAAGAAGTTTAGTTCAGAATTTTTAAAAAAATAAATAAATAAACGGGGTTTAATAAGCTATATATGCATGCAGAAAAAGTGCGTATGTTAAAGTTTTTTTTTGCTCTTAAAGCAAATTTTTTTATTGAATTTTTTTCCACAGTTTACTAAAAAATATTGAAGTAAATAAAGAACAAGTAAAGAAATGATTGGCGTGGAATTGATAAATATAGAAGTAGAAGAAAAGACCTGTATATACCGATACGGACAGCTAGATTAAGAAAATAAGGCAAAAGGTTTGTGTGGAATAGACTTACAAAGACCCGTAATTTTACGGGTCAATTCAGCTAGTAAATAAATAATAACAATGTCAAACGTCGAGAAAATAAACAAATATTTTTACATTTTAAAAAAGGAAACATTTCAAAACATTTTTAAATAATAACATTTCTGCATTAATGATTTAAAGAAGTTTTTCGGTAATTAAGTAAATTGGTGCAGTTAATGTCGATAAATATGAAAAGCAAATAAAAAGATTTTACTGACGTCAAAAATCGCGTCGTGCTTTTTTTATTCATTACAAGGCCTGATATATATATATAAATATTTAAAAAAAAAAATTCTTAGGTTACATTAAAAAGTTCAATACATTAAAAAGTTCATTAAAAAGACAATTAACAATTTAAACGAGAAATCATTAAAAAAGTTATAATGACAAGAAAACATTATTGTTTTAATTTTTAACAACGAGAACAACTTGCTTTAAAAATATGAATGAAACCAATAAAAACCTCATAATTTATTTCAAACAAATTCCACGTGATATTTTAAAAAATCACCAAGTTCGTAAAAATTTTACCGTTACCAATTCATGTGATAAATAAAATAAATAAATAATGAAGTCCATAAACATATGACTGTACAATGTAGATAACATTGAAGCGTCATTAAATTTGTAGATTATGATATTTTAAACATGATAATTAAAAACCAGAAATATTAAAAGAAACAACGCGATCAGACACAAAAAATAATTTAAGAAGTTGAAATAAGCAGCAAAAAATTAATTAAATATTAATCAAAATTCCGGCCGAAACCGAAATCTCAAATCTAGTTGGAACCAAAACAGGAATTTCGATTCCAGCCAGCTTTATGACCGGAACCGGAACCGAACCGAATTTCGGTCAATCACTATATGTCATAAAAAATATTTTAGATAAAGAACTTCCCAGAAGAATGCCAGAAAAGGAATAAATCAAAGAATGGAAAAAGAATAAAAATGAATAAGAAACAAAGAATGCACGCTTGCACAGTGTGATGATTTTTTTTCGGTAAAAAACGCTTATCCCATGATTTTTTTACCATTAAATTTAAACCACAATGAATTAGCATCCGTGTGAAAATAAATCCAAAAATATTTTGAAGTAGTTAAGTTATTACTGACTAAAGGATGCTGAATTTCATACTGTTCAACCAAATTTGCAGTAAAATTTCAATGTATTAATGTTTATTTGCTGAGTAGATTGAAAACATTGAATGTCAGAAAAATAAAAAATGCCTGTTCAATTAGCATCTTCACTTGTTTGTTTAAAGCTATTATTATCTACAGATTCTGGTTTAAATTGAAAACAGCTTTTAGTTTTAGAAATTGTTCTACTTAGATAAAAATTTGTTTCCAAAATGGTGCACAATTCCTCAGTCAATCTTTATCAATCTTGAAAAAAATAATTTCTTTGATATTGTTTATACAATTTCTCACAGAAAAAGTTATCACAGAAGCCTTGTATAAATTTTTATAATTCTAGTATTTGTAGCTTTTATCAGTTTATATTGAAGACAACAGGGTTGAGACAAAGAGGAGAGTTACTAACAACACAATAATAAATTATAGTTCTACATGTTGTTGTTGTTTTCCAGATCTTTGTTGACATGTAAGCATCTAAGTAACTAAAATTATTATAAGCAAAAATATTTTTTTTGACGGCCCAAAAATTGGGTTATCTAAACTTGTTGTTTTAATAATTTAAAAACAATTCCTTTCTTATTTCATTTTTTAAATACTGCATCAAAAAAGTATTATAAATATTTATTTTCATTTTTTTTGTTATTATTAATTTTTATTTTATTAGACTGAATGTTTTTTCAAAATGTCATAAAAACCGGGTCGTTTTAGGAAATCAGGCCAATATAAAAATTGCCATATCTTGATAACTGCTAAACATAAGCTATTATTTTCAATTTTGCGTGCAATGTTTTTTAACAAATAGCAATCATGTATCAAACTATGAAACAAAAAGGAAGACACGATACTATGGACTAAATGATTTGATGATGAAGTACCCCAAAACAGTATAACCAATTTAATGTTACAACAAGAGTTATTTAATTTGAAATGAAAAACATATTTTTATGCTGTAAAAGATTATGTTGTGATAAAAACAGATAAAACAAACTTTTTAAACTTTTGGTGTTATGTTTTTATAAACAATATTATGTTTAAATGAAGTTTTAAGGAAAACTGGCAAAATATTTTCAGATATATTTGAAACTTTGCAATAAGTTACTTATGTCTTGCCAATTTATTGCAGACAATAGTAATTAATCAGAAAACTTACCTGTAAAGACTTGTAAATGAATAGATAAAAACTTGAGTTAACTTTATTTTGGCATTTTTTAGACACTTTCAGAGATTTTCAAAGTTGAGGAGAATTTAATTTAGACGCTATTATTTAGACATGAATCTCCAATAAGATAAAAGTTAATAAAATACTAAAATACTTAAAAACTTTTAAATACAAATTTTGATCAAGTATTAGAGAGACAATTGATGAATCTAATTTTATTCAGTAGACCTAAGATATGCAATTGAACTTTTTATTCAAGATTTTGGTCCACAGTCTTCATTTTACCTCCAAATATCATGAATTTACAAGTCAATAATTTTGAACAAAACTGGATAAACAAGGCATTTTCTGAGATAATCGAGTCATGAGGGTGCTCTTTTTGGATTCCGCAAATAAAAATCTATTAGGGTACTAAATTTTAGAAAATTTCCCCAAGCCATTATGAAGATACTATATGTCAAAGTTGCTATGTAGTTGCTTCAGATAATCACTAAAATGCTGATTCAGCATTATTTTAAATGACAATATTTCGGGAACCCATGTGTATTTTTAACTAAAATTTTTGCAATTATTATTTTATATATATATGGATTGCAAATGAGGTAAATATGAACAAATTCTGAGATGTAAGGGTGTCATGGGCTAGATGGTTTCATACGGAATGACCCTGCAGATACAATAACCAAAAACAAATATGTCATAAGGTATTGTTTACAGAAAAAAAGCCTTAAGTGAGTTAAAATGATAACTTTTAATAAGTTTTTTTTAAACTCGTTCTAGTTCAATTGTAAGC